AAATATCAACAAAATATCACTAATATATACATAATATTAATATTAATCATTTTAGACTCATTTACAAATAGAAAAATATTTATTTATTAATTTAAATAATTTTTACGAATTTTTAATTTCTCTACCCTCTATAGAAATACATTTATATTTCTATAAAATCCAACCCTCTGATAATTTAAAACCTTGTTTATCGATAAACCTTAAAATCATAATTTAAAAAGAAAAAAAAATATATGTTGATGTGTGGGAGTTGGCACCTACCGGCTACCGGCCGCCACAAGAGAAATCTTAAAACGGCAGCTGGTTTTGGTCAAACATTCATGTATGAAAGAGAAATTTGATCCTTTTTTTATTATTTTTAAATTTCCCAATGTCTTAGAAAATATAATTAGATTGCTTGATTTTCAAAGCTTATTAAAACCCTTTTCTTTCTCTCCATCGTTTATAACGTTTACCAAACCCATTTTCCATTTCCATCTTTCACCAACCATTTTCTCTCCTCTTTCCACTCCCTCTCTCGGCGGCGGCTCTCCCCTTTGATCGCCATGGCTTCCATTTCCAAGCTCTCCAATCCCATCTCCGCTCCCTCTCTCTCCTCCTCTCTCAAACCCAGATCTTCCCTCTCCAATTCTTTCATCGCCCTCCGACCACGTTCCGATTTCTGCCTCCACGTCGCCGCCTCTCGCTTGGCCGTCCGGCGAGACTCCGATTTCAGGGCCCCCTTGGTGTACGCTCCTTTCTTCTGATTTTGATTTTGCATTCTGGGTTTACCCGGAAGATCTGTTTGATGTTTATGTTTTGTCGGCTTCTGCTTTTTTTGCTTTTTGTGTTTGATTGCTTGATCTTTTAGTTTTTGGGGTGAAGGGAAGAACGGAATTAGTAGGATCTGTTTGTGTTTCCTGCGTTGTTCCATTTCATTGCTGTTGAGTTGCTGTTTTCTTTTCCAGTTCATAAATCTAGCTTAAGATGGGGGTGTAGCTAATTTCTTGCTGTGATTGAATGCTCATTTCTGGGAAATTTTTAATAATCTAAGAAACGCATGTACTAGCACAGATTGAGCGAGTGAGGTTTCATATTTGACTGGATTCTTTCAAGTGCGCTTAAGAAGTTTCTGATGACAGGGGTTGAATTCTGACTTAAAAGAGTTTAAAGTTGAACAGAAACATAGATATATTTTTATTCTAATTGACAATAGTTATTCCATTTGTGCTAAAATTGCTCTGGGATGGATTGTTCTAAGCCACATACGGCCAATCTGTCTGAATGTTTGGGGGATGCATCAGATAGCAACATTTGTTTGTGCTATGATCATTTGGGAAATAGTGTGATTCTACGAATTTCATGTTGTCATAACAGTGTTAGGTGTTCCCAAGGAGATGGAAATGGAATCCCAACCAAGAGAACAGTGCTTCATGATCTTTATGAAAAGGAAGGACAGTCTCCATGGTACGATAATCTCTGCCGCCCTGTCACCGACCTGCTTCCCCTTATTTCCAAAGGTGTTCGGGGTGTGACGAGCAACCCAGCAGTAAGTATTTGGATCTTATTGTTTTATCTCTGTTGGTAAATCTCATTAAGATAATTTTCATGAGAACATATAAATATGATAATGTAATTTGGTTATCAGAAATCCAGAATTCTTGTGGTTGAATTGACACAAATCTTTAACTCTTAGCTTTTATCCTCTTACAGATTTTCCAGAAAGCAATTTCGTCTTCAAATGCTTATAACGATCAATTCAGGTATTTTTGTTATAAAAAGCAATTTAAATCCATCTCTTACTTGATTACGCTGTGACCTTTTCTACATTTCATGGATGGTAATCATATGAATGGAATTTTCAGAGAACTCGTTCAGTCGGGAAAAGATATTGAAAGTGCATATTGGGAACTTGTGGTGAAGGATATCCAAGATGCGTGCAAGCTTTTTGAGCCTATCTATGATCAAACGGATGGCGGTGATGGCTACGTTTCAGTCGAAGTGTCTCCAAAACTTGCTGATGACACCGAAGGAACCGTTGAGGCTGCAAAGTGGCTCCACAAAGTTGTTAGTCGCCCGAATGTGTACATAAAGATCCCTGCTACTGCTGCTTGCATCCCTTCAATTAGGGATACAATTGCAAATGGCATAAGTGTCAATGTAACTGTAAGTTCTTTCACTGGATTTTATCTGAGCTGGATTAACCATTGGAACTAGAGTTAGAAATTTGGTCTCATCCTGATTTCTCGTGCAGCTCATATTCTCCATTGCTCGATATGAGGCAGTCATTGATGCTTACTTGGATGGACTCGAGGCCTCAGGTTTAAACGACCTCTCTAGAGTCACAAGTGTCGCTTCCTTCTTTGTAAGTCGGGTCGACACCCTTATTGACAAATTGCTTGAGAAAATCGGAACGCCGGAGGCCCTTGATCTGCGGGGGAAGGTGACGACCGCATCATCATTTCAAAAATTTAATTTTTGACATTTGGAAACTTACTGTAAAGTTTGCTAATTTACGGAATGATCAATATTTTAGGCTGCAGTTGCTCAAGCCGCACTTGCTTACCAGCTCTACCAGAAGAAGTTCTCTGGCCCAAGATGGGAAGCTCTGGTGAAGAAGGGTGCAAAGAAGCAAAGGCTGCTCTGGGCATCTACAAGTGTTAAGAACCCGGCATACCCCGACACCTTATACGTCGCCCCACTCATTGGACCCGACACTGTAAGAAATCTAATATCCCACATCTCTCCTCTCGACGAATCGATCAAACAGGCATCCTCTTCTCTTATCTAAATAGTACCATTTCCTCTTCCCCTCCTCAGGTTTCAACCATGCCCGACCAAGCTCTTGAAGCATTCGTTGACCACGGAGCTGTCTCGAGGACCATCGACTCAAACGTATCGGAGGCGGAAGGGATATACAGTGCACTTGAGAAGCTGGGAATCGACTGGAACGAAGTCGGGAATCAGCTCGAAGTGGAAGGAGTGGATTCTTTCAAGAAGAGCTTTGACAGCCTGCTTAATACTCTCCAAGACAAGGCCAACTCTCTTAAATTGGTCAGCCATTAAACTTCCCAGTTGGATATCAAGCTGTGATGGGGTGGGGACTGGGGTATGAGAGTTAATAAAAGATGGTGGGTTCTTTTTCCTGCTGTAAAATGTGTTATTCAGTGTCTTTAAAGACCTTAATCTTGAATGTATTATATGTTGGTTAGTGCAAGTTTTTAATTTTAGGGTTGTGAAATTTTGGACAAAAAACTTAGTTTGCTCTAATGGTTTCTTATTTCTTGTTTTTCTATTTTCGTTATCTGAATATAAATGAAATAAATATGTGAAGATAAATTGTTAATTAATAGGTTAAGGTGATTTAATGGCTACTAGTAGAAATTTCAATTTCCACATATTGGTTAAAAAATACTAATCAAGTATTTTTTAGGGAATTAAAAATATTTTTTTTTTGTTAATATAAGTTGCTAAGTAATAGATTATAATTTTTAATCTTAATTTATGTTCTTTTTTCTCCTATGCATTGAAAATGAGGAGGTAAAAATTATTACCAATTCTCTTTTATGCAAATGATAATGTGTTTTTTTTTTCTTAGTTTAAAAATGGTAAAAAAAGGGTTGGGATTCTTTGTGATTTTGGGTAAAAATATTCTTGAACAAACCTTTTTTTTTTCCTTTTGATAAAACTTGAAACTTATGGAATTTAAAACAGTATCTAACTAAATTTCTCCAGTGTTAAGCTAGATATTATCTTCAAATTTAATCTCCTATTTAAATATTAAATATTGAAAATTGATTAAGGTTATGTATTTTGCATATCTTTTTTACTCAACCAAATGTCTATGTTGGCTGAATTTCACGTGCCTTCTAATTTAAACATTTTTTTAAAATATATATTTTTAGTTAAACCACTTCTATAAAAATGATTTTCATTAAACTACTCGTGTTTGGTTATATTTTCTAAAAAGTTATTTTGATCACAACTTTGCTGGATAGTTTTTTTTTTATATATAAAAATGTATTCTATAAATATCAAATTACCATGATCGTTGAACAGTCACTTTTTAGAGAATCAACTTTCAAAAAATAATTTATGTTTGTGCAACAAAGTGTAACGTCTCGGTCGGCCAAGTTGAGGTTAACTGAATGAGCGAGTTGGAATGAACCGGAGTGAGCAGAGAGATCTCTCTTTGCAAGGAGGAATTTACACAAAGGAGCAAACAGTAATCTGACACTCAAGTCATTAAGGAGATCGACTTTGATATCAAGACCTAAATAGAATGAGATACGTGATTTTGGAGTGAGTCCTCTTACTTATAGGTTTTGGTGTTTGATAGTGCTTCTGACCGGTAGTTGAGCATGTTGGGTTGCAGCTATTCCAATTGGAGATGCTCGTGTAGAGTTTGATACCTCCGCACCCAAAATCTGGCTAAGTATAACTGGTCATTCCTAATAGAAAGGAATACCTGAAACCAACCCGATGGTCGGTCGCCCGTTATTTTGGTTCACTCATAGCAAATCACTGAGAGATTGTTCGTATTTATCCCCACATGGTAGTGTCATTTCATGCCCCAACCATTTAAAATTCAAACAATGACCAAATAAAAAGCACATTGGAAAATGAAAGGACATTTATCAATTGTTTGATTCTCCCAAAGAGGAATGGTTTTTTTTTTCCTTCTTGGTAGGGATGAAATAGAGAGAGAGAAGAATAACTCATCAATGACAGTTTCCGATCTCATTAAATTTTCTGTGTTTATATTATTTGGTTTGGCTGGTCCCAATTTAGTGGAGCTATACATGGATACATAAAGATCATGTCTAATTAATACGTGGAAAATTTTGTCCGTTTGTAAAATTTGATCGATTATGATCGAAGATATATTTGGATATATTTAATAGGACAAACTTGAACCTAAACTCAACTAATAAAGACATATATCTCGAATCAAAAAATCATGTGTTCGAACTCTTATCCCACGTGTTATTGTATTCAAGGTTCGAAATGTCAACGTGGATGGAAATGTCGAGGTCTCGATTGGATATTGTTTATGCAAAGATGTGAACAACAGTGTGCTCCTGGTTGTAGCTCGAACCCGGCCTCCGGACCGACCTGACCACTTGGGCGGACCTGCACAAAAAGGTGAGCACTCCGATGATCAAGTCAGTATAGGTCGGATTCCAAGTCTAGTTCGAAGCCAGAAATCATCGTACCTGATCGGGGAGTGAGGTCCCCTACTTATGGGTGGTGGTCTCGCTAATCTAGCGACTGTTACATTCGGTAATCTCGGGACCGTCGGTTACATCCGGTAATCTTGGG